CAATTTAATGATATTTCTTTACCAAAACCAAGTAAAATGCCATCAGGGCAATCAAATTCAATAAATCTTTTAACATCAGTTGATATTCTTAGTACACATAGTACTTTATTTGCAAGATTGATTGATGTTCTAGCTATATTATAATTTGGATTGATTAATATCGTTTTGATATATTCTTCTTTTATAGCTTTAATTGCTTGTCGTTCTTTAAAATAATAACTAATTAAAATGATATAAAAAATCTTATGCATCTACCTGCATAATCAATTTCTCCTTCTTGTCCACAATTTAAACAATCACCACCTAATATTAAAACTTCCCGGGTCGATCAAAACGGGTACCCGTTACGGGGTCGTTTTCGGACAGCAAGCGATGAAAAAACGGCTAGTTTACGGCCGTAAATAGTCCGTATGAGTGGATGCAGTAATACGGTACCGTATATGGTGCCGTATACGGTGAAAAAGCCACTGTAGTACGGTCCGTAAAACTGCATCCACTCATACGGCCGTAATACGGTCCGTAAAACTGCATCCACTCATACGGCCGTAATACGGTCCGTAAAACTGCATCCACTCATACGGCCGTAATACCGTCCGTAAAACTGCATACACTCATACGGCCGTAATACGGTCCGTAAAGTAACCGTATCGTCCGACCTGAGTTTGTTTACTCGCTTACAAAATGCTGATGGTGGTGCATTAGCATCACTAACACGTTTTGTTAATTGTTCAGCTAAATATTTTTCATACAATGGGTTATTTAATTTCAATCTGAATTTAAACAGAAAAAAGAGCACTTGATTTCAAATTGAAATAAGGGACTAAGGGAACTAAGGGGACTAACTAAGGGGACTAAGCGGACTATTCAGTGGGGAAGCGTGTTTCCCCACCTAACACACCTGTTATTTCAGCGTCGCGGCGCGAGGCGCCCCCCGAAGAGCCGCGACCAATGTGCGTCTCTGTGTACGCCATTATTCCTACCCTTAGCTCGGTTAGTTAGTTCCCTTAGTCCCCTTAGTTAGTCAGCTTAGTCCCCTTAGTCCCCGTAGTCCTCCTAGCCCACCCTCAAAAAAGGTACTATAGATATACCATATGTCGACTGAATTCTATATATGTTATGTATGTATCCATAGTAGCCTTTCTTATAAGGAACAGGAGACAAGATACCAAAGAATTCTTCCATTCTGAATTTAAAGAATTTCTTAGTCCCCTTAGTTCCTCTGCATTGGTAAAAATGGAGCGTTATTCTTTTTTCAAAATTCAATTTGAATTAAAAAAACCCATAGACTCATATTTTTCAGCATTAATTGGTTTAGTTGATTTATATGATTGAAAAATATAGAGAAATATTTGAAATAAATTTTCTGTATCACGTGATCCAGCATAATGTTCTGGATAAAATTGAACACTAAATAAATCCGGAAATCTCAGATTTATATCCGAGAGTATGTGTACTTCAAAAAGTGAATGAGACAAATCGGTCATCCTAGAATCTATGGATATAAAAATTTTTCTGGCAAACCTTTTCTATAAACCCTTGAATTCCATTGGCTACTGCTTAACCAATAGGACTTAGGAGCGTATACAGCTCGGATTTGAACTCCTCGGCTTAACTTAGCCTCAGAAATTCCTTTTTCCTATAACTTGATTTCTATTGGTCAATGCTCAACCAATGGGTCTTCGAGGCGAATGGAGTACAGATTCGAGTTTTCCATACTAGAAAACCTTCGATTATCATCTCAATGATAGGAAGATAGAGTTCCTATTGGGGATCGATTGGAGCGTACTCAAAAACCGAATCGATTCCTGCTTATTTATCTTGCCAATAGGTGAGTTAGTCTTCTTGTTTCTTGATGTTTTATATACCATTTTGTAGCTTTTGAAATTCTCTATCGAATGATATATAATAGTTGGGGTTTTAGTTGACTATGATAGGAAAAGTTCTTTACGAAAGCGGGAAAGGGTTGATCTTTCCATAGGAAAGGTATAGCGAAAAATGAGTATTTTTGCAATAACTCAGAAAGGGCTCGGCCAATCCTTCTCATCTTCGAAATCGACTGAGATATTGTTAAGACTGAACTGTGCAGAAAATTTCATCGCGATCTGACTCTCCTTTCAAAAGTTATCGGGTAAACGAACGGACGGACACACTGATCGATTCTAGAGTGTACTCACTTTTTGAGTACACAAAAATTGTTTTGAATCATGAACAATGCCTACATTTGATAGATCATTTGGATTTGCAAATAAAATACTTCAATCTTTAGCTACACCTTGTGACGTTCGAACAGCAAAACCATGATTTTATGATGTTATGAAACAACATTGAGTTCCTTCTAATAAACATGGCTAGAAAATATCAATAATCATTATTACACATTCCACAATTATTATTAAAGACATAGTTGATTATGACCTCGTTGTCCATATTTAAGTTTTATTGTTTTCATTCCAGGAGCTAAAGCCATTAATTAAAAACCAATCGATATAACCAAAGAAGAAATTTATGTAAAATTTTTACTTGATGTCCGAGACCAATACCCAATACCGGTTTAATAGTTTTACTTGTAATCCATGATTTAATAATTGTAATAGTTTCTGGATATTGAGTTTGTGGATTACCGGGACCACTACCCAAAAATAAACCATCAAATTCTAGAAAGTAAAAGTTTTTATTTAGTTTTTCAAATAAAATACCATCTTGTCTAACAGGATAATTCCATGGAAAGACTGTTACTTTTGCACCGAGTTGACATAAAATTCGTAATTGATTATTTTTCACACCACAATTAATACAAGCAATAGATATTTTTCCTATTGGATTGATTACATATGGTTCCTAATAATTCAACCAAAAAAAAAAAGAAACAATCAAAAAGATAAAAAAGTTTACTTACTTGAATAGAAACTTGTATCATAAGATTAGCTTCATTTTGATCTTGAAATGGAATTGATGTTGGATTAGTTTCTTCCATAACAATCTATTCACAATTAATTTAGCAAAAAAAACTGTTTTCCAAGCATTGTTCTATGTTCATGAAGTTTTTTAGTTAACATTCGTGTATCAATTCCTAAAATCAAAATAATTACTATCATGTTATTATAAACAATAAAAAAAAAAGATGACTAACCATTAGTAGCGGCGCCAGGATTTCAGTTCAGGGTGGGCTCATCATGGGTTGAGCCCACCCTAACCCACACAAAGTGTTCTTTTTACATAGCTTTCAAAATCTTCCAGGGTGGGCTCGATGTAAATCAGGGTGGGCTGAGCCCACCCTGGCCCACCCCTGGCGCCGCCACTACTAACCATAAAGACCAGGAACGTTATGTTCTTTTAGCCATGATGAAAAAGATTCAACAGCATTCCAATCACTATACTGCTCTGTATAAGTGCTAACAATTAATCCTGATGCATAAATTTTATTTGATTCAACCCATCGAAGTATACCAAAATCATCAATATCTTTTTCATCGGGTACACCTGAACAATTTTAAATAAAGATTTAAGACAATGATATAAAAAGAAAAAACAAACCATAATTGCCAACGACTGGAAAAGTAAGGACTAGAATTTGTTCACAATAAGATGGATCAGTTAATGATTCTACATAACCGACCATATCAGTTTGAAACACTAAACAGAAGACTAATCAGTAAAAAACAAAAAAAGGACATCCATTGATATAATCTTACCAACTTCACCGGAAGTATTAGTTGATGCTCCAAATATCAAACCATTGAATTCAGAACCATCTTCAAGTATTAAAGTTCCATACTGCATCTTAAAAAAAATGAAAAATAAAAATAGTTCACTATTTAAAAACTGATCATTGATGTATTTATATAAATGAAAAACAACTACTGTATATAAATACGTTTGTTCTATGAAGGCTTTAAAAAATATTATCTTTTTATACTCTATTGCACGAGATTTTGTACAGAATCGGAAAATAAACTTAATTAATCTGTATTTGAAATATATGAGAAATATCGGATGGGATATTGGATAGAGTCTATTCGCAGAAATGAGAAGATGTAATCATTCCAATCATATTGCCTTGAATTTTTCATCAATACCTTCTGACATCTATCATTACGAGATTTCAGCACTGTATCTATTTCTCTTAGTTAAATGTATTTTTGAGATAAACCGACAAAATATTATAAGAATATGTTATTATCTTTTATTAAGACACAACACATGATAATGAATGTTATGACATAAATTTGTAATGAAATATTTGCTATAGAATTATTTAAAACGGCTGATTGCACTCTCAAGAAAAGAACGAAAGCATCACATTGAAAAAAATAGAACCTCTATATAAGCAGAAGATTGGCAATACAGAAACA